AACCAATGAAAAACAAATAATAATTTAATTAATTACGTGCCAAATGATGAAAAGGCTGAGTTTACTACTAAAACTTCTAGTTGCATATTTTAAACAATCTTGGTTTGCCCCGTTCATATTATTATAATGCGATGCATACAGTTACTTTGTGCATTTTTAAATATAATTTGACTTTATGTTAACAAATAGCATTATTATATAACAAAAGTTTCCTAAATTAAGCAACGAGCGTTTTGATTTTGAGTACACCGAACTTTTTCTTTTGATACAATTTAGCATTTTCAAAATTTTTCTCAACACTCGTTAGACAGTGTATGAAAGTTAAGATTATTCTTTAGTTATATCATATTATTATTAGCGAAATAGTATATAAGGATAACTATTTTGTTTTAATTTAATATTTTTCTATTTTTTCCTCTATTGGATACTAAGTAATATTATACTAGATAGAAAAAATGTTCAATCTAAGACTGGCTTTCGTTGTATTCTTCATTTAGCCATACAACCACAATGTGAAAAAAAAATAAAGTTTTCGTAAGACCACGACAAAGTCACGTTATTGAAAAGCTCCTTCAATAAATTTCTATTGTATCGATTATTGCAACAACGCAGTTGTCTTAAACCGAAGTTGGGAAAAAATACTAACGATTTCGGTAACGGGCTAAACAATATTTTAATATTATACCTACAGCTATAACCTAGTGGAATATGATACGGGTTCGGCCATTTTGGATTATGTCATAGTGGTAAATTACGTAGCGTGAAAGAGGGCGAATTTAAGTAAAAACACTTCATCTTCTTAGCACAAAACGTATTAAAAAGACCCAAAAATTAATTATAAAGTAAACGCTACTTTCGGTTTGGTGCAAACCATGGGTTCTAAATTAATAATTTTGTTTAAACCAGAAATGCAAAAAAAAATTGTAAAAATCAATTATTAAGAAAGCAAAAGTCATGTTAAATTCGGAATACAGTAAGATAAGTTCATAATAAAAATAATATACATTTCACATACAAGACATTTTATAGTGGTTTAATTAAATTTCACTCTTAACACTGTTAGTATATTACAGATTTAATATTTTTTTTTTTCAAACCACTCATTTTGATTACCTACCAGAATATGTTGCGAACTCTACTATTAGACTTAGTTGATCTATTAAACAATTATGTATTATGTTTATAATTATAACGAAGCATTATAGTTTTTTAATAGGTTAAAATATTTAATTATAATTCAAAGACATATTTATAATTATTTAAATTCACAAACGAGATTTAAAAATGGGTATTATTGTTTTGTAAGTCTAAATCAATTGTAGTATGTCATGTACACATAGTATAAACTTCATTATTATATTCTAAAAACTTTTACAGAATTAATAGCGACATTGTATTGTTGTATAAAAATTACACGAAAACCAAAAAACTCTATTAATAATACTATGTGTGTGCAGACTTTAAATCTTGTTTTTTAGTAATTATAATATATTGACGATGTTAAAAATTAATCTCAACACAACTTTTGATAATTTGTTAAATTTGTATTACTTAAAGATTTACATTTTCCGATACTAGTATATTTATATTAGTAAAATGTATACAACATATTATATGCCCTTATATGTTATGACTTTTGCAAGTTTTTCATTAAATAATATGATTTCATGGTATTGCATAAGTCATAACTAAATTAAACAAAAAAATTGTTGAGATTTTCTATAAAAAACATTTACATTTCTAACATTCTTTTGCAATTACAGATTTTCTCACTTGACCGTGACCGTTCTAATTGGTTTTGAATTATCCAATTTTGTTATAAATAAAATAAAAGGGATTTGCTGAAATAGTCAAGCATGAAGTCTGTTATTAAAAACCGTCTTCGTTTTGACTCTCCTGGAAAATATAGCATCGTACACAAGATTTATAACATTATGGTTTAAACTTACAAGAGAAATTTTCATTTTGTTTTTAATTGTAAATTTTTAAATTAGGTTGAGCCATTTTTCATATATGGAAATTGCTGAAATGCATTTTTGGTGCAATACATATTTGATTAACGTTTTACGTATGTAGAGTAAACTTGGTCGATTTTCTTAATTCTGCGCCCAAGATAATATAAGATACTCATATAAGATGCTGTTAACGTTAACTGCAAACAATACTAATATTATAATACCTTCTATCCGGAATGTACAATGAATATAATTCAATCATATTCACCGCGTTCATGGAACACCGAAATTATAATATATACATCATATTCTCAGGGTGAACTTAAACTATATATTTTACGGTAACGTTTGCATAAGATAATATTGAATGAATTCTATATTTTAGGTAGGTATTTCTCGTGTTCTTATACACATAGACTTTGTTGTAATTGGTTGGTATTATGTCCGTTTCAGAAGTATTTGTCAGGTTAGGTTGTTTGTTTAATTTAAAATGAATTATCCCAAATAGTATGCAATTTTAGACCATTTTTTACAAAAAAATGTTTAGTTATTAGTAACGGTTAGGTTTTTTATGGATGTGTTCATATTTGATGTTTTTATAATTGTCAATTGCCGAATCAGTATTTTGACCGATAATCACATTGTAATCTCTTATAGTAGATACACGTTATGGTCAATGGTAACAACCAGGGAAGTACCTATAAAAAATGTCTCTATTTCTTGTGTACTTTCAAGTCCATATACATAATTGGCCACCTCGATAATCGAAATTCCAAGCATATTATGATTAAGTTCGATATTATAAAATATTCATAAAACATCAGTTCTAAGAAATGTTTACCTGTATTTTTCAGCGTCATATTCAACCTGTCAACTTTAACAAAAATAACCAGTAAATACCGGAAATGTGTTCCCCCACTACATCAAACCTTATGAAATAATAAAATGTCCGTAGGTAATCAATAAGCTAATAATCCAGTGCATACAGTTTAAAACTGCACTAAAAGCAATACTGCGGAATTTGGTTATGGATACTTATTATATTGTGTTTTCGTGCAATACAATCAATAGCATTAAATAATCAACTCGATAGGTTATGCAGATGTTATTTATTGCTTTGTTAACGTATTTCTCGGAATTGGATTTTAAGTTAATGAATAATTGTCACTCTTCATTTGACTAGTATTAATGGCAAATAAATTAAACTACGTTTGATCTTGCATAATTTATTATTTTTTTTTTAGACGCATTTAATTGGACTCTTAATAGCTTTCCGGCATATATTTTACAATAATTTAGTGTGTAGGGTGAAAAAACCTCCCACTTAATTGAAAACCTACCGCAAATCGTTGACAAAGAACGACCTCTTCCGGCCTATTATTTGGCGCTTTTAATGGGTTTTACACGTTAATAAATTATAAGAATAAATTACACGGGGACAAGCAATTAGGACAAAAAGCACACGACTAAATATGATGATATAAAATAACCCAACTTTAACACGGTTTACATGTTCCATGAATAATATCACATACTATTATTAAAAGACCTCGGCCCCAGGTCCTCGACATCAAACTTCGATAGGATTATCAAATAGAGGTCGGTCGCATGGCATTTATATTGCGTCCCGTTTATGTTGTGTGTTGACACGAAGTTGATTTAAACGCAAACAGAACGGTATGGATTACCTTACAGTAAAAAATAAGGATGGAAAAATAAAACTCAACATTTTCATTAAGGATTTCTGTCTTATATTTGTCTTTATTTAATACGTTTTATTAAACACAGTGAATAAAAAATGATCATGAGAATCGCTCAAAAAATTGAAGACTTGAATTATTATATTTTATTCAACAAAATAAATTTAATTACATGGAAAATCCGTACTGATATGAAACTTAAAAAATGTACAAATATTTTTTTTATAGAAAAATGCATTATTTTAACATTGTTTAATTTATTTATACAAATTTACGATGTATATATATCGTAAACACAATATATATGCTATACATGAAACAAAAGACATAAGTTAATGTGATATTACTGCAGACAAAGAAAACAAAATTTGAGAAGAAAAGCGGATAATAAATAAAACAATCGGAAAATTACAGTAAATTATAATAAAAAATAAGTAATTTTCCAAAGTACTTACAGCAGAGCGATATTATATCAAAGAGTTATTTGAGTTAATCGAAAATATTCCAAAATATTGAATTAATAACGTTATTGTGAAATTGGTTTTAATTATAATATAATCGATTAAAACTTAACCGTCATAACCTAATAGTACTGTATTATTTTTTAATTAAATCGAATATAATTTCAAATACTTAATTAGAATATTTCAATAATTAATTAGTTAACTAAATTAATTATTTATGTCAAATAATTGTTATCTATTTATTGTTTTCTTATTTTATTTTAGATTAGATAGATAACAATTTTGATTTATTTGTATGTAGTTTGATTTCGGATTACGGTATGTCAGGAATACCATTTTTTTATCTAGACGAAGGATCTTGTTTATTACAAGTAATAATTTATTTTAGTGTAACTTTGCACGATCAACTGCAAAACGGTTGTACTAGGAACTCTAGTATAATTTGTTTTTATTTAAAAAAAAATTATTTTAATAGGTCATATAAAAAAAATATCTAGATTTCATTAATTCTCATTACCAGAATTTGTTTGCCAAAAGTGTCGATTTAAAGTGTCGATGTTATCTATTAAAATAAAGTTTATATAGATCGATAATTCGTGGCGCGAGCTTAGATTCAAGATTAAGATGAATTATCTAAAAGAAAAAACCTGTAGGTATTTATAAATTATTATAGTTTAACGAATATTCGAATGATTCCGACGCGGTGCCGATCTTAACGATATTATAAGTATATTATATTATGCTCGATTTGAAACGTATATACATATTTCATCATTCACAATATTGATATAATCGAATATATTATGACCATTGGTCGATACATTATATTATTATAAATTGTGCCGAGCTAGTACAAACCATATTACTATTATGCAACTTACCTGTAGGACGTCGGTGTTACACTGTAATTCGGCCAACTCGGGCGAACTGTACACCTTCAGTTCTTGTAGAGCACCCTTGATTGATACGCCAATGAAAACACATGCAAAGAACGCGTTCATTATTAGTGTTATTACAAAATGTCATGTATATAGCGTTACCTGAGCCTATAGCAATAGGCCTGAGGTCAAGTACCGAGTTAATAGCGTAAACGCTGGCCCGTCATCTCCGAGACAGTCGAACACACCGACTGATCTACACGAAGACGACGGGATAGATCATCATCTGCTACCACATGCTCTTTGGGAGGTATCGGGCCGGGAGTTCCTAAAATATCGACCGCGCCCCACGATCGAGTATCAATAGCCCGGCATACCGTATAATAAGTTATGTATGTATCTATACTTATACAATATGTTTATAATCGTTTGATAGAAATTATTTTTACTTCTCGTTTCGTTCTTTACGGTGATGTATAATAATAATATTATACAATAAAAAAAAAACTATTTTTCCTTTCTTTGGCACCGACCCCGAACGATTATATTTTCGTATCATATTGGATCATATTCTTCTGTAAAGACTGCGTGGCGTGAGTAATTCAGTAGACGGTAAAAACATATTTGTACTTTGATGATAATATAATAACCATGTCTACCCGTATATCATATTAATGTTAAAACTTCCGACATTATACGTCTTACGGCTAATTGTGATGTACAATTTAATGTATGTATAGTGTATACATACATTTATATGTTTTTTTTATTTAATTGCACTTTTTTTCTTAATCCATTTACCTTATTCATGTCACTGTCAATACTTGTAAATATTATTTATAATGAAATTTAAAATATATATACAATGTAAATTTTTTTAAAAATTTTTAATTTTACTCTGACTTTTTCGGGTTTTTCTCGATTTTGGTGGTAAAGAACAACCTTTTTCGACTTTTGACCCACTAATATAACCAATCGCATACGATTTTGAATCTAAAAATGGTGCTACACGAGTAATTCGGTCCTCAGAAACAACAATTTTCTTGTTTACAGACACAAAAAAAACACACATCGTTTAAGAATCAATACCTTCTCAGCTCCGCATCAAAGCTAAAAAGTACTAAAATACTAAAATGAAAAATTTTAATTTAAACCGTATAGACAACCTTACATAGAAGGGACGTCTGGAATAAGGGCAATTTCTTATCGTTTTACAAGAACGTTATTTGAAACATTATAACGCACTATATCAATCCATTTCTTTGATACACCCGACTGTCTGATAACAATAAACGATTTGAATATTTGTTAACCGATTTTTGATCACATTGTGTAGAATACTATTAAAGCTTCTATTGTAACACACAACCATCATTATTAAGTATCAACTAAAAATTCCATCAATATAAGTTCAGCTTCGATGGTTTTACAATAATGTGGGCTTTTTTTGTGTCTGTATACACATTTTTACTGTAACTTTTTTAAAACTGTACCAATTCTATCGAGTAGCAATTGTAAAAATCTTAATTTTAATCTAGTTGGTACTTTGAGGGAGGGAGAAGTTAAAAATGTTCACTTCTTCACAGTTTAAATTTATAAAAAACATACGGTTATTAAAGTTTCAACTATTACTGACTATAACTTTGAGAAAAATTGTCGAATTGAGTTTAAATTGACAAGCAATATTTACTTACTACGTCCCTATACGTCAATAGTCTGAAATTTAAATTATACCCAATAATTAATAGTATACTATTTCAGTAGCTTAAGTAATAAACTTGTAAATAAAAATATGTAATAAAAAGATTAAACATCTCAAAAAAACGTTTTGACTTAATATTTTTTACAAGTTCAGTTATTTTTATCAGAATATTACGATATTAAATTGTTTTAATAAATATTCGTTGTAGTTTCAATAAATAATGTACATTTTGGCTTGAACGATTTTAATCCCTGTACAAAAATATTATACTCAACATTCGTTTAAATTTAACGAACCGATTCCAGTTTATGCACCGCTAAATGTTGTATGATAAGTTGAACTTTTACATTAAACTCGAAATTAGTATACGTGCAACTTTATTACCAACGACTTTTTTATACATTTGGTGCAAAGAACAAAAGAAATCCGTTCCGAGCTTAAATTCTCGATGAATGATATGAATCTCAGTAGCCAAAAGCGTTGTCCTAATGTCGCATCTTCAAAGCTCGATTAAAAAAAAAAAACTCAAAAATGATCGGTCATTCGCGTAATTATTTCCAGTTATTCTTGGAATAAAGAAAGACAATACAGAAGGAATTGGTTTTACAACGATGTAATAGTATATATTTTTAATTTCAACAATACTTCTTTTGTATTAAAAAAAAAAAATGTTTTAGTCGTATTGTTTTTAAACACTATTGTAATAATGAAATATTCGCATCTGAGCGTTTTGCGAACTGCAAGTGATATATCATTGTAAAATGTATTACCACCGCCCAATCGCTGACCTTCTTCGCACCGAGACCCGCCTACAACCAGTAAACCCAAGTTTTTTCCTTTGCATTCTAAACCTAGTCGGTTTTGCATATGTACAGATGAAAAAAAAATAGACACTCTCATATGTATATATTAAATCTTAATTAAACTAATATGGCGTAATAAATGTTTTCCCGGAAAAAGTCGTTTGGCCGAAAAAAAAATGAGTTAAGCAAGGATTATAAAGTTTCGTCACATTCAAAGCGGAATAATTATTATAAAGCTCGCAGGAAGTGGCCGGACAGGCTTGTTTTGATAACGCAAAAACGTCAAAGTTGGTATTTTATTTGAAAATAAATCCCTAGGAAAACTTTTCATAGGTGAAAAATATACTATCATGTTCACACATACACACACACACAGTAGCAATGTGCATGTAGCTTAATAAAAGTTTTGGAGTCCTTATGAGCAAATCCTACGTTTGCTTTGACGTCTCCACTTTTATATGGGAACTTGTACTTCACACTTTCTGCTTTAATAGGATTTTCATTTGATGCTCAAAACTTTTTGTAACAATCTCGACTTATCTATATCATACATCTTGGTTTTATATTTTATTCTATATAATTCATTTAACACAAAAACGACGTCTTTTATGTAGACCAAATAAAAACTAGTTTCTGAAGTTACCTTTCTAGTAATTAGTGTTACTAAAAGATATGTAAATAGCTTATTTATTATCAGCTTTAATTGAAACTATTGCATATAATACAATCGTGTATTTAACCGCAGATGACAAAACAAATTATTTGATAAGAAAATGAGCTGTCAAACCTTTTAATGATAGAATAGAAACAGGTATTGATTTTTATCTTTAGCTAGTAGCTACCTACAAGGTTTTTATATGTTTGGAAGCCCTGTTCGGATGTTGATACGTCTAGTCTCAAAATATTTATTAACTCGTTGTCTTTTTTGTTTACAGATTTTCTAATTTTTATTTTTTATAAAAAAAAAAAACTTTATATATTATACAAACCGGTTTTCAAACTATAGTAAACATTTAAATAATATATTCAGGTATACTGAAATGTGTTAGTTTGGACATTAAATATTACTATTATTATATTTAAATTTAAATAATTGCTATGCGAATCTGTTTTGTGTGGATTTCGAAAAGCTTACAGCTTAAAAGCTTAGATACAAGACTCGGTAGGGAAAAATACAACAGAAATATAAAATCCACACTGACTGCTTTTATGGTTGTATATCTATATTTATATTTTATATAGAAATGATTTACTCGACACTTCCGTTGACAATAGGTGATATTTTCCAATCTCTTAGTATGCGTATTGTTTCGCTTTTCTTCTTGGAGTATCCATCCATGTGTAAAACCAAAATGGAAAACGTTTTACTCCTTATTATAACTGATATTAATATAAAATAGAAGCCGTAGACAATTTTACAAATTGCACTATAATAAATTGAGGATGTAATAAATAAAACAAGTTTAAAAAAAAAATGTACAGCTAAAACCAATAAAAAAATTATTACACATGTTGCTATGCAATCATCAGAATAAAATCCGATGAATTTGTTTAATAAATTAAAGTTTTAAAGATGAAATTACTTAAAAAAGTACAAGTCGCCTACTGATATAAAATTATTACGCAGCGTGTTAAAACGACTGAGAACACATACAAAAAATTGTTTTATGTAATCTAAAAATGACATATTTTGTTTGTAGTAATTGTGTCTAGTATTGAAAATACAATTAACTGCATTTAAATAAATAATGATGTAAATCATTATTTTGTGTTAACATATGATTTGTGTATTTTACTGTGAAAGTATTATTAGGTAACACGATTATATTATTATAATCAAAATTCAAATCTGAGTATTGTTCTAACTAAAAATAAGCTAGTAGAGTGAGGTCAGGAAATACTAAGGACGGGGAAGTCACAGATCTAAATTAATTATTTTATCTGAAAGTGATAAAATAACTTTTAAATAAACGCTTCGTTGCTTATCTGTGTACACTGGACCTCAATTTACAGGTTACTTTCTTACTGTTCGGTGTATACTGTGCACGATTTACCTATAAATATATATTTATTGTTTAGCGAGAATACCGAAATATTATTAACGAAAAACCGCAAATAGTAATTTTTTAACTAGGTATTTAATAATAATATTAATAGCAAATATAGCAGTACATCAAAATATTATATTATTATTACGTTTGTATATATTTCAAAAACGAAAACTAAAATGTGTCAGTAACTCAAAAGCAGCAAAGGCGAAAAAAATCAAATGCATCATATCTATCAACTTCGGCATGATAATTTAATGATAAACGATTCAGATATTATTTCACTCCCCGCGTTCAACCAATGCAGTATATTATATCAATGTATGCAAATGTAGACCTCGACGGCCAAACCGTCATGCACTATCGTGGCATATCTAAATGGAATATTTTTACCCATTTACCAGGAAGAAAAATATTGTATACAAATATAATATATGATATTTCATTATTATTATTATTATTATTATTATTATTATTATTATTATTATTATTGTTTGACACTCGATCGCAGTTCAATTTAGTACT